ATGTTAAAATATTAGGGACTAAGTGCTTGATTTGTCTTAAACAGGTTTATTTATCTATAGTACTATTCAAGAATACTTTTATTTCATTCATGTTCAATTCTTTTAGCATAGTGGTGATGCATCACCAGTGTCAGTAACTGAAACGGATGTTATGCCCTTCAAAACTGTTATTACATTTTTCAGTTATTTTGTATTTTCAATTTAAACTAATATATTTATAATTAAAAACAATTCTTTTTAAAATAGATGTCTTTTTTATCATCCTGTGATGCAGAAATTATAACATTTCTTTAAAAAAAATATTGCAAAAAATAAAAGGTTAATTTTTGAACAAATTTAGTATTTTTTTAAAGAAAAAATATTATTGTTTAATATTGCCATATTTATCCTTATGCAAAAATATTATTTATCAGTATTAAAAGCATATTTATATTTAAAGGATTAGGTATTCACTTTTGTTGTTCAATGAATTGTGGAGCTTCAAAAATTAATAAACCTTTTCCTGTTATATTATATTATTTTCCTTTAATAAGTTAAAGTAAATTATATAAAAAATATCAAATATTTATTGATACAGGTAATTATTATGTGTACAATGGTTACACATATAGAATTTTTACCTTTTACCTAAGTTCAAGGTTTTGGACACTTTAAGACAGTTTTATCCAGTTTAAGACAGTAAAACCCACTTGTCNGTTTAGGACATCCAAAACCCCAACCCTGGTTTGTATGTATAGAAGTTTGTAAAAAAAGTTGTTGTTTGTATAAAAGTTTGTATTTTGATATTCGGAAAACATTTTTTCCACATTTGAATCACGATTACTCTAAATTTACCAGATCTCCCTTTTCTCTGAACTTTATACTACCAATGGCAGGGAAACAGAATTTGTCATGCAAAACTTCTTAGTATGTCTTTTTAAGTCGGTTTTATAAGAAGCTGGCAATGCAATGATTGAAAATGCAAGGGAACTGCCAAACTTGGCGATTATTTTGCTGTAAATAACTATACAGGAATCTTCTTGTACATGTATTCATAATGAAATGTACAGAATATGTTGTGGCTTGTCGGATAGTGACTTTTCTCCCATTATGTGATTTCTTCCCTAGATTCTTATATGTTTCAGTTTAATGGTTACCAAAACTTAATAATCTTTTAGCACAAATACTTACACTTAAAAAAAAAAAAAACATTAAGCATTGCTGAAGCTATAAATGAATCCCCAAAATTGTCAAATTCATAAACTGATTCGCTAGAGGTCTGATGCATTTTTTTAGTTTTGATAATCTATAATTCATATCTGTGAAACTGATTAACCATATAATTGAATTATACTACTACATAATTAAATTATATCATATAATTGAATTAAAACATATAATTTAATATTTATTAATTTAAAATATGAAGTACGAAAAATGACAAGGTTAGGAAACACAATGCAATAAAATATAATTATAATGAATTTATCAATACGAAAAATAAAACAGGTAAATTCACAAAATGAATTAAAACATGATGTAATAGAATATTTGGGGAAGATTTCCATTTCGTGATCTGTGGCAGAATAGTCGTAGGTCTTAAGATGAAAAATTAAGTATACAAAATTTACTTACTACCAGCAATAATAAATATCAAAACAATACTATTCATAATTTTAATAACTTAGCAAACGTGCAAAACAATTTCAACGAGAAAACACTTTTCAAAATGGAGAAGCAATGTACCAAGAGGAAATTAAATGCAAAAAATCAATAATAGAAAATTAATAAACATAATATAGAAACTAATTTAAATTAGAATTAGCATTGATTAAATTAAATCTTTAATTTAAAAGAAAGTAAGAATCTCCTAATTTAGAATTTTAATTAGGATTAAATTTTCGACTGTTTACTTTAGCTTACATAAAAATTCGTACATTCGCTTTAACCCAACTAACAATTTTTCTCTTCCTGCTAAAACGATATATGAAAAGATATATGAAAGAAAGAATTGAAATGAAATGAGAAAGCAGGCAAGAATCACGTGGTCATGTTTGGTTCTTAAAATTTATTTTATCTATCAAATTGTAAGGGGCCTCCCTGGCTGAGCGGTATCGCCGGTCCAAACGCTCTGTTAAGGCCCTTTCTACGCTGAAAGACAAGTCAAATTGAAGGAGCTATGGGTGGGAGAATGGGAGGAATAGGCGTGGACATTAATGGACATAGGGGGTGGAGATATACTGAGACAATATATTATATTACAACTTATATGAAACATAGGAACCTAAGTGGATTATAAAAATTTTTACCTAAGTGTGCATTTAGTAGTTTTTACTTAATTTAACAAACAATAGATTAAGCTGTAAATTTCTAGGAATTCCAACTTTTTAATTGATTGTTAATTTTCATTTTGACTTAATTAAATTTTTGTTGTTTAAGTGCTATCAAAAAATAAAAATCAGGAGTCTTCAAATCTTTTAATTTCTTTTTATTTTAATTTTATACTTTTAGTAATAACATATGGATACGAAGTGAACTCTGACCTGGATGAAAATAGTTATGGGTGCCTTTGTTCAAACAATACCTGTGGATGCTGTGCACATATAGAGGCACCAAAAATAGGCTTGAATGATACAGGTAAATTTTTATGCGTATTTAAATATTTATCAAGGTAGGAATAATGTAAGTTGAAATTAATTATAAATGTGCGTAAGTACTTCCCAGACTTAGTGATTCGTACTCGCTCTAAGATGCTCTGATTCTCTTCATCAGACAAATGAATTTTATCTAATTTTAAGAGTGGAGATATAACATCTCTTTGTTATAAATAAACTATTTTTTATTGAATTAAAATATATTTGAAAACTTAATTTCATTACAAAATATTTTACAGTTTTGCACCGACAGTACTAGTACTAAGAAACAAAATAGAAATTTTGAACAAATTAAAAAATTCTTTATAAAATATAGATAAAGCTTTCCTGATATCTTTACAAAAATCCCCACTAAGTAGCAGGATTAAAAATGTAAATTATCCATTAAAAAAAATCTGCGGTATTTCATTAGGCATAATTAAATATGAATCTTAAAAAATAGACAGAGTAAAGTAAAAGTGTAGCGAAAAGTAATAAATATTAGTTAATCTAAATTGTATTTTATTGGCATGACATCCATTTTTGGGCCAGAGGCTTCCCTAGAACGTACCATCATTCTGCTCTTTTATTTGTCTTATATGGCAATAATTATTTTTAAATCTCTAAGTGTAAACAAGTGAATATAAGCACATGTCAACAAGTGAAAAAATAAAAATTTTGCATTAAAAAAATACAGGGGGTAAAATATTTTCTAGAGAGATAATTTATTTGCACTAATCATTTTCTGAATATCCATTAATAGAAATATCAGTCATGGTTTAAAATTAGGTCAATGCATTCTTTGTTCAGTCATCAGCAGTATTTTCTACTTATCAAACATAAACCATCTTTGCTTACATTTAATGCATTTGAAATATCACATAATTTAAGTGAGTTTATCATCTGTTCCAAAACGGCTGAACTGAGAACAAACCTGTCACTTCTTTCAGAGTTAGTCTTTTTATAATGTCGGCAAGGGACCTTTGTTTTTTCCTTTTGGAGTGTGAGAACCTTTTGTTTCTGCTTTTACAAATCTGCACGGCAGTTCCAAGTTAACTTCTATGAATTTGTATTTTATAATAATAAACTTTTGTCCATAAGAGGTGTGATTGTATGTTGGAATTCCGTGTCTTTCGTATTATCTTTGCTGGTTTTAAAGTTAAGAGCGCATGCTATATGATTTTTCTGGGAACATAGTGGAATTCTGCGTTTCTCAAGACCATTGGTTCTGAACTTTCGCTAATCAAAAACTTATAGTCAGTCGAAATTTTTACGGAATTTAAATTGTGAAAGTTTTGCTAATTCCCACTAAGGAGACGCTTATATACACATGATTCTTCGGCCAATGGGCATAGGTTCACATTTTTTTTTAAAATTTGTTTTCTTGATGTTTTTTATGATAAATTTTGATAATATAATTTTATAAGGCAGCTTAATCTTTTTCAAAAAGGGTAAAAGATGAAGTGCACTTATTATATTTAGTGAAATGGCGTTTTTAGAACTTCTATGAATTTTTTCCTCCAAACTTTAAAGTAATAAAAAGAAATAATTGTTTTTGTGTAAGTAATTTAAAACTACGCATTTCTCAGTTTTTATATTTTTTAAAATCTAATCTTATTACAGTTTAAATTAATGAAAAGTGATTTTGAATACTCTAACAATTTTCTTTTATGTTAGTTTCTTAAACTTTCATCTTTCAAAAACTGTTGAATACAGTATTGTATTGGTGCAATTTTGAGAAAATAATAGATATAAAATACTGCACACTTTGTGATAAATTGTGGTCGTTTGACAGCCTTACATTTTATATATAATGAAAGATAGTGCCCAGCAGAGTAAATATCCTTCAACAGTTTATTTGTAAAAATTAATACCCTTTTTAGAATTTTCTCTCCTTGTCTCCATGCTTTTGATAGTTATGTTTGGTCAAGAAAGGAAGGGCCTTGTAAGGGAAAGAAGTGCATGCTAAAATTTTAATATTGTTAATAAAATAAATGTATTTCTAAGAAGCAATAAATATCTATAAATTGTATTATGTCTTCTTTTTACAAATTTTTCCGTAAAACATAATGCAGCACAGTTAACATATTTTAGGATTTTTGACTTTACAATAATCATACTTTTTATGATTGCAACAGCCTTTCTTTTTTTCTCAATGTCCACCTGTTGACATTCGTTATTCGAGTATCGGTTAGGCAGATCTGTGTGCCACTCTTTCAGGAATGCCATATTATGTGGACCAACGTTGCTCCCACAGCAAAGACAGATAGTACCAGGGGTCTGTCTAGGTTATTTTTATAAGAGTAACCTATTTTGTGTACAATTCAAAAATCAACACAAAAATAAGGTGAAGTTAGAAAATATTTTCAAAAATTGTCACTACAAATAAAAATCATTTATGACTTGAATTTCTATTTTTAACATATAATCAAAAACAATTTTCCAAAATTAGAAATCCTTAAAAATTATTGTCTAAAGTTAAATTTCAATTTGAATTTAATAAAAACATGCATTTAACTGTACTAACACTATTTTCATTATAACTTTTTTGACTGTGCCATCCAAAAAAAAGTTTTGCAGAAAATTTTTTTTTTTCATAAAAAACAAAAGTCTGTTAGAATTAATTTATAATAATATTTGAGATATTAGTTTCAATTTCAAATCCCTGTAAAGTTTATGGTTTCGTCGTCTCTTTAATATAGCGTAAGTAGCCGTTTAGATTTACCACCCCGCAGTATCTGCTTCCTATTCGTAGAAGACAGCTGGCGAAAAAGCTTCTTTTTTTTCTCTCTCCATAGATTGCAACAAGAATGGGGCTTACCTGGTACTAGCTCATTTTCTTCTACTTCAACTAAAGAACGGGGCAGCTGATGCTCGTTTTCTCCCACAGTGTTTCAGGAACCAGGCATGGGAGGGAAAAGCTCTCTTCTTACGAACCTGGCAGGAAACTAATTCTTTTATTACGTCATCATTTATTATTATTATATATATTATCATTATATTTATTTATCATCATTCATTTTATTACGATAGCAATCCATTGGGTTCCATTGCAAGTAGAAGTCCGTAATTAACCCAAGATTGATTGTTTTTTACAAAAATAAAATTTTAAGAGGCTGGGTAGAGTGTCTCACTGTCTTAAAACTTGTTTTTTTTTTTTAATGTTTTTTGTTCAACTGGCGCTTTTTTAAGTTGCATTTGTGAAGGTACTTCTAAACTATAGTAAATTTTTCCTGGACAGACCCCTGCTTACAGAAAATTAAACAACATCCTTGCCTAATCAGGGATTTCAACTCTACACAGTCCCTTCGGTTTATTGAAATAACTAGGAAATTCACCAAAAAGTTTAACATTTACCTCTAATTCCGTTATCTGGGGACAAGATTATCGGGCACTACACGGTTTATTTAATTCCAACTTTATAGTTGGCAAAGTTAGTTGTCTTTGAATTTAGTAAGAAAATATCAATTTAAATACAAGTGTTTAATAATTTTTTTTTATGTTTTCTTCATAAGTAAACTCAAATGTTTAGTAGTTAAATGTTTTTCTTTGTAAAGGTTAAGAAAAATTTGTTTTATAATACATGTTGATATTTTTTTGCAGAATTTTTTTTCCTTTTGCAGGTTGTGTAAATTTGACGTATCTTCCTGAGGAGTATGGAATATCCTTCACTGTTACTATAGATAAGCTTACTATTTATAATGAAACCATATCAGGTATAGTAATGTAATTACCATTGAAATATAAGTATTAATTTGCGTTCAATATATAAATGTTTTTTGATTTTTTTTTTTTTACAATCTTATGCTTTTTTATTTCATGACATACTGTTTATTATAGTCTTATTTTCTCTGCTTTTTCTGAAATCTTACATTATTCTTGTTTAAGATTTAAACAAACATTTGTTGTTAAATGATGTAAGAAGATATAATAAATTATATTTATTCACTATATTTTTCCGTTGTGACGCTGGACTTAATACACAATGCTCTGCAGTAATAGAAAGGACATTTTCAGTTTTTACATTTGTCTAATTTTTCAAGAAATATTTAAATAAAACTTTAGAGATGTTTAAATCTTGCAATTACTCATGCTTATCAATGATATTTGATGCTTTCAGAATTTTAGGAACAAGGAATAAATTAAGAACGTTAAAAGAAATTTTTTTTGAACAGGAGATACAACAATTAGCTTGTAATTAGTGTTTATTACTTTAGTTATTCTAAGCAAGAACTGCATCAGAATTTAGAAACCTTAACACATTTGCTGCCACTAAAAATGATATTTCCATCCTCAGAAGCCGGATTGCAGAACAGGGTTTTAATGGTTTAAATGCGACGTGCTAGCGCATCGTCGGCATACCAGGAGGTGACACGCTAGTGGGTCAGTGGCAGCGAACGTGTTGAAAGGTATTCAATAAAATCAAACCAAATTTTCAGAGTTATTTTTGTTATTAATCATTAATTATGCAATATGAGCTTAGTGATTCTTACATACCGAACATTAATGGAAATCATTTAATAAAAGTTTCATAAAATTTTTTGTAAATCATGTTTGGTTAACTTGAAAATTTAAAACATTTCTAGAAATTTGCTTATAAGTTTTTGTACTTTATAATGATGAGTTTTCTGTATATTTTATAATGAAATTGCTTAGTTGAAAAATTTATCAAAATCTTGTTTCAAGCAAGCTGAGTTTCTAGTGCAACACATAGGTTCTATCTCCCTATTAAATTATGGTTCATTTCCCAAAACTTTGTTACTTATACTGTCACTGTTTGCTTAATAATTGTAGGATGTTGTCATTTGTTATTTAATTAGTTTCTTATTATTTTTAAAATTTACATATCTTTGATTTTGTTCCCTTGTCTTGTAGCAAAAAATCCACCTCCTGCATGTTTTGGAGCTCCAATTTTAAAAGATTATGCTGACCTCTGCCTTCGCTTTTATGATTTAGATGTATCAAAGACAAAACTACACGGTTGTGTGAAGATAGAAGCAAGATTACACTATGTCATTGTTGGAGAATATAAGATAGGCTGCTTTAATATAGGACAAAGCAGATGGAAAATTTATCATAAAAAGCTAGTGCAGCTTATTCGTGCAAAAAATAAAATGTTGATTAGTGAAAATAAGATTTAGTTAATATTATTTTTAGAGAAATTTTAATACTTATATTTATTATTTGAATATGAACTTTATATAGATTTGTGTGTGTAATAATTGAAGACATGACCAATTATTACACGCACAAATACAAAATAAAATTGTACAAAATAGTACAAATACAAAATAAAATTGTACAAAATAGTACAAATACAAAATAAAATTGTACATGTACAATTGTACAAAATAAAAAATTCAATAAAAATAATTGAATTTTTTATTTTGTACAATTTTTATTGATCGGGTAAAAGAAATTACTGACTTTTACATTAATTTTATTGACAGGAGATAATCTGATTCATTATTCCTTAAATGTTTATGAGCTTGTTTTGCTGTTTGTGTTTTACATGCTCTTTTGTTCTGATATGTTTATTTTTATGCTTCCTAAGTTGACTTGTTTTTCATGCTTTATTTTAATGTTCATTAGGGTAGTAATTTGAATTAAAGTTTCCACGAAGGCATTTCAACCAATGACACAGGAAGCGTTATATTTTATTACAAATAGATAATGTTAAATATTTAACATTATGATAAAAATTCATTGTATTTGAAATGTTTTTTTGTTTTTTTTTCAGGCAAAATTATCCAATGTGATAATCCGAAAAGAATTTTCCTTACATTTGAAATATGAATATTTCTTTTGATGGTTTTAAATGTGATAATTCTGAGCTTGTTTTGCTATATCTATTTCATATGCTAGATGTTACGTTCTTGTTTATGTATTTCATTGCTATGTTTACCCTGTTAAATATATTTTTTGGTTTGGTGAACTGCTTGCATGAGCCTAGAGATTATCAAATTGATTTTAAAGTAATCACCCCAATAGCACATATTTTAACTGTATGCGGGTTTCACAGTATTAATTTTTTGGTCAATTTTGGAATAATGTACGTAGTACACTTGAACGGGTAGTAAAATTATTGCCAAAAATTTTAAGTTTTATATCTTAGCAATTTGATATCTGTTGTGCATTAATTGTTTAAAAAATAGGTGCACATTGAAGCTATTGTAGCCAGATTTTTTAATATGTGATTAAATATTTTTATCTATTTCTTATTTTAATTTGTTATTCTATACTTTTGTTTTGTACAACTTGGCAGTAATATTTAATGTTCCTTTAGAATAGAGCATAAGAATACTATATAAAATTTTGATTAAAGTTGTGGTCCGCAATTTTACTGAAGTTTTAAATTTCGGTCCCTCAGCCTTGTTTAAGTTGGAAACCCCTGGTCTAGGCATACAAGTCATAAACTTTATGTGCATATTCAATACATAAACTTTAATTGATCATGAATGTGCAATTTTACAGAGAGTTTTTACTGAAACATTTTAGAACTTTTCTATGTGATATTTGGCAAAACTGGTTCGATGTTTCACAAAATACTTCAAGATTGTATATTCTATTTTTATAATAAATATTTAAACTTAACAAATGTCTTGTCTTGATTAATATTTATAGGCTCTATATACATATCAAGTGCGTGCATGAAGTACCAAAATTAATATTCTTTTGCCTCCTTTAAAATTCTATATGTTAATGATTTATAAGGTAAATTTTTTATTATCTTATGATTTATTATTATGATGGTATATTGTAAGAGTCACAGTATAAAAGATAACAGCACAAAGATACATAATTAATTTAAAAATAACATCGAACTGAATTTATATGCAATTTTGGCTGTTTGTTTTGTTATTTACAAGCTTCATGAAATTTCTATCTATACTTAGATCTCTTGATATTCAAAAAATAAAAGTATTTTTGATTACTTTAATTTTTTGTAATTCTATCCGCACAATGTGAAGCTTTCCTTTTAAAAATAATTATTTTCAATTTTGTTCCCTTTTTTGGGGGGGGGGAATGAAAAATTTAAAGCCTTATTCTACATATTTTTTTGAATCTCAATTTAGAAATTTTGTCATGGAATTATTTTAAATTCCTTTATAATTTGTTATTATGATGTCATATAGTGAAGAAAAAAGTAATATTAAAGTAAACAGCACACAAACTCATCATTGATTAAAAAATTGTTTATTCACTAAAATTTATATGTCGTTTATGTTGTTTGTTTTGTTACTTACAGCTGCATAATATTGTATTGATTCCTAGATCCGTCAATATTCAGAACTTTTTCAGGACATTGTAACTATCTAAAATTATTGCAATATCTGTTATTGAAATTTAT